CTTCAAAACAATTCCTCCGACTCCAGAGGAAGATGAAGCTCCGCCCCCTGTCTTGCTGGACTGAGTCACAGCATCAGTTCCAGTTAGTCTGTTAGTTCCTTTACTGCTGCCCCGTTGCTGTCATCGACTGCTGCTTTAAACACAGAATACTTTATTATCTGACCTTTACATTTTTTCATCTTCATCAGAGACCAAGTCATTTCTCAGTGTCTTTTTGACCTGCAGTTTCACATCGTGTCCACTAGTCAAATATTTACATCGAAACTGTTGAACAGTTACCTTTTAATTACTGGTTTCTGACAACACAGTAAATGGCTCCAGACTGAACTGCAGTACCTGTGTAGTACATATGAAGTATTCAGTCAAAACCGACCCTGGATTTCCTGTTGAAATCTTACTTTAACTTTTTTTTTTTTTGTAATATATTTTCACACCTCAGTGTTGTCTGTGTCAGACTCTCAGTTTGACAATCTGTCAAACTCTGCTGCACCACAGAGGACGGTGACTAATACCAGGGCTGACACCAGTGGTTTGGTCGTGCAGAAAAAGTCCTCTCTCTGTGCGTGTGTGTGTCAGTGTGTGTGTGTTTTAACACAAAAAAGTGTTTTTTTTTTCTTTATGTTTGGAAACTTACTAATAGTGTGAATGTCACACTGACAGAATTTTCTTTTTAAATCTGTCACATTGATGTCCATGTGTGTGTGTGTGTGTGTGTGTGTGTGTGTGTTAGCTACACATATGACCTTCAACATCTGGTTGTATTTTATTTATTTAATTTTTCTGTTGTCACGATGTCTGTTAGCCCCATAAAGCTAACGGTTAGCCATAAAGTAGCCGAAAAATAAACAGCTAAATTTTTTTGGTAAGGATTAATATAAATGAACACAAATTTTAAAGTTGAATTTAAAGTAAACCCAAAATGGTATCATTTACTTTATCGGGACCAATAACAGCTGAAATTTGTCCAAAAATAAACCCTCATTTATTTCCACAAAAGACACATTTAACCTTTAACAAATGTATTGAAAATGAACCTTAAGAACAACAACTAATTAAAAATAATTAATATCTAAATTTAGATTCTTTAAAATGTCCCTGATTCAGTGATTGGAAATAACAACATTATAGATCAAGTCCGTCCAGAAATATTTAAAGTTTAATCCAGACAAGCAACGAGAGAGGAAGAAAAGTGGGACGTTAGGAAGTCGACAGTGGGGGAAAAACAAAAAAAAAAGCTTAGATGTGTGTGTGTGTAAGAGAGGAAGAAAAGTGGAACGTTAGGAAGTCGACAGTGGGGGGGGAGCTTAGATGTGTGTGTGTGTGTGTGTGCGCCCGCGTGTGTGTGTGTTTTTAAGGGTCAGTAAGGAGTGCTGCAGCCTGTTCAGTCAAATCCTGGGGCTTGAACTCTTGAAGGCAGATCATTAATGACTGTCTCTGGCAACAGATCCAAACACACACACACACACACACACACACACACACACACACACACACACACAGGGTGTTAATATCCACAGGTGCTCTCTGACCACTTTCTAGAAAGTTGCTTCAGCAGCACTAATGTTGGCAGGTCACAAAGGTGAGCGTTGGCGTCGCACTGGGAATGGTGAAGATGATGACGACGAAGAGGAGGAGGAGGAGGAAGAATCAGGCCTTTAGGATTGGCCTGTGTACACGTCAGCACTCAGACCCAAAATAGAGGCAAAATTCTGCCCCTGAATTGAAGTAAAGGGGGCGCCGTTTCCTTTGGACTGTGTGTCACATCAGTGTGCGTTGACAGGTGGGGGGGCGATGTAGAGCTTCTGGATGTCATCGGCAGGAAAATACCCCCCCCACCCAC